AGACATGTGCCCTTTATTGACACTCACAACAACAGGCAAAATACAAGGTTCAAAATTGCCGTGTCTTGTTCCCATAAAAATGCTAACAAGGCATGTGCCTTGGCATGCGGAGGCCCACCGCACACTCGGCTCTCACACAGCTCCGGCCCAGCCATGGGGAGTGCGTCTGAGTGGCCACCTGGGGTCGGAGGCAGAAGCAGGAGGGTATGACATTGCTGAACAATGTCATCCCTATTTTCATGGGTACAAGTACAGCTCATTGGCACTGTAAACTGGCCCTGTTTTCCAGTGGGGATGTGAGACTGACTGGTTATGTGGTTAGCCAATAAGCTGATTAAACTTTCTCCTGGGTGCCGGCTTCTGGCCAGCTGTGGGGCCAGGATGCTGGGACCTGGGCAAGCTGGGGTAATGGGTAGCAAATGGGACCTGGGCAGTCGGGGATGCTGGGACTGTAGGTGGCAGCTGGCACCCTGGGCAAGCCAAGATGCTAGAGCTGTGGGTGGCTGCCAGGACTCTGGGCAAGCCGGGATGCAGGGACCATGGTGCAGCTGGGACCTTGGGCACTCAAAGTCAGCAGCAGGGCTCCCTTTGCATGCCGGGCCGGCCCTGATTACGTTCGACTATGTATCTGATTCTTTGTGGTTCTTGTTTTAGAATCATAGAACTGGAAGGGACCTTGCGAGGTCATCGAGTCCCATCCCCTGCGCTCATGGCAGGACCCAGCACCATCTAGACCATCCCTGACAGGTGTCTGTCCAACCTGCTTTTAAATAGCTCCACTGATGGAGATTCCTCAACCTGCCTAGGCAGCTTATTCCAGTGTTTAACCACCCTGACAGGCAGGAACTTTTTCCTAATGTCCAACCTCAACCTCCCTTGCTGCAATTTAAGCCCAATGCTTCTTGTCATGTTCTCAAGACCTTTAATCGTTGTTGCTTTTCTCTGGACCTTCTCCAGTTTCTCCACATCTTTCCTGAAATGCGGTGCCCAGAACTGGACACAATACTCCAACTGAGGCTTAATCAGCAAACAGTAGAGTGGAAGAATGACGTCTCGTGCCTTTACTCACAACACTCCTGTGAATGCCTCCCAGAATCATGTTTGACTTTTTTTGCCGCAGTGTCACACTGACTCAGATTTAGCTTGTGGTCCACTATGACCCCTAGATCTGTTTCTGCAGCCCTCCTTCCTAGACAGTCGCTTCCCATTCTGTGCGAGAGAGATTGGTTGTTCCTCCCTAAGTGGAGCACTTTGCATTTCTCCTTATTAAACTTCATCCTATTTACCTCAGACCATTTCTCCAGTTAGTCCAGATCATTTTGAATTATGACCCTATCCTCCAGAGCAGTCACAACCCCTCCCAACTTGGTTTCATCTGCAAACTTCATAAATGAACTCTCTATGCCATCATCTAAATCGTTGATGAAGATATTGAACAGAACCGGTCCCAAAACAGACCCCTGCTGAATCCCACTTGTTCTGCCCTTCCAGCATGACTGTGAACCATTAATAACTACTCTCTGGCTATGTCTAGACTGCAAGCCTCTTTCGAAAGAGGCTCTTTCGAAAGATACTTTCAAAAGAGCCTCTTTCGAAAGACAGCGTCTAGACTGCACGCGGAACTTTCGAAAAAGCAAGCCGCTTTTTCGAAAGAAAGCACCCAGTGAGTCTGGATGCTCTCTTTCTAAAAAGCCTGTTTGCTTTCAAGAACGCCTTCTTTCGAAAGAGCACTTTCGAAAGAAGGCGTTCTTCCTCGTGGAATTAGGTTTACCACCGTCGAAAGAAAAACCGCATTCTTTCGATTTAATTTCAAAAGAACGCGGCTGCAGTCTAGACGCAGGTGAAGTTTTTTTGAAAAAAGGCTACTTTTTTTGAAAAAAACCCTGAGTCTGGACACAGCCTCTGAAAATGGGTGTCCAGTCAGTGATACACCCACCTTACAGTAGCCCCATCTAGGTTGCATTTCCCTAGTTTATTGGTCATGAGAGACCGTATCAAATGGCTTACTAAAATCTAGATATACCACGTCCACTGCTTCTCCCTTATCCACAAGACTCATTATCCTATCAAATAAAGCTGTCAGGTTGGTTTGACATGATTTGTTCTTTACAAATCTATGCTGGCTGTTACTTATCACCTTATTATCTTCCAGCTGTTTGCAGATGAATTCTTTCATTTCTTACTCCATTATCTTCCCTGCCACAGAAGTTAAACTGACTGGTCTGTAGTTTCCTGGGTTGTTCTTATTTCCCTTTTTATAGATGGGCACTAGATTTGCCCCTTTCGTCTTCTGGAATCTCTCCCAACTACCATGACTTTCAAAGATGCTAGCTAAAGGCTCAGATACCTCCTCTATCAGTTCCCTGAGTATTCTAGGATGCATTTCATCAGGCCCTGGTGACTTGCTGACATCTAACTTTTCTAGGTGATTTTTAACTTGTTCTTTTATTTTAACTTCTAAACCTACCCCATTTCCACTAACATTCTCTGTGTTAGGCATCCCGTCAACATCCATCTTCTTGGAGAAGACCGAAACAAAGAAGTCATTAAGCACCTCTGCCATTTCCAAGTGTTCTGTTCTTGTTTCTTTCTCCCTTTTCACTGAGCAATGGGCCTACCCTGTCCTTGGTCTTCCTCTTGCTTTTAATATACTTGTAAAACATTTTCTTGTTACCCTTTCTGCCTCTAGCCAGATTGAGCTCGTTTTGTGCCTTTGCCTTTCTAATCGTGCCCCTGCATACCTGTGTTGTTTGCCTATATTCATCCTTTGTAATTTGACCTAATTTCCACTTTTTATACGACTCCTTTTTGATTTTTATATCATATAAGATCTCCCGGTTGATCCAAGGTGGTATTTTGCCATACTTCCTATCTTTCCTATGCAGCAGAATTGTTTGCTCTTGGGCCCTTAATAAAGTCCCTTTAAAAAACTGCCAACTTTCTTCAGTTATTTTTCCCCTTAGTCTTGCTTCCCATGGGATCTTACCTACCAAGCTCTCTGAGTTTACCAAAATCTGCCTTTCTGAAATCCATTGTCTCTATTTTGCTGTTCTCCCTTCTACCATTCCTTAGAATCGTGAGCTCTATGATTTCATGATCACTTCCACCCAAGCTGCCTTCCACTTTCAAATTCTCAACTAGTTCCTCCCTATGTGTTAAAATCAAATCTAGAACAGCTTCCCCCCAGTAGCTTTCTCAGCCTTCTGAAATAAAAAGCGACAAGGAGTCCTGTGGCACCTTACGGAATAACAGATGTATTGGAGCAGAAGCTTTTGTGGGCAAAGACCCACTTCGTCAGATGCATGTGACGAAGTGGGTCTTTGCCCATGAAAGCTTACACTCCAATACATCTGTTAGTCTCTAAGGTGCCACAGGACTCCTTGTCGCTCTTGCAGATCCAGACTAACATGGCTACCCCTCTGATACTTGAAATAAAGAAATTATTTTCCCTGGCAATTTCCATTCATACTGGCCGGGGGGGGGGGGAAGGGGTGGTGATTTTAGCTGATGAACTCTCTTCTGAGGGTAACAAGGGCAGAGAACGCAGCTGCTGTTGGCATCCTCAAGACACCTGGGCTCCTATGGCATGTGTTTATTGCAGTGGCGCCAGCTGGCCTTATTGCAGAGTGGCGTGGGCCGGAGTCCTCCCGTGGATGGAGAAAGGTGACTAGACGCCTGGGAAGAGGGTTGCTGAGTGGTCTCTGAAAGCCACTGTGATCTCTCAGGGGGAAGGAGGGGTACTCCTGTGTACACCAACAACTGCTCTGCATGCGTGGGCTTGGCATGCCTCCCGCTGGGAATGGGAAGCAGAGAACCGCGCCGCCTCTGCTTGCTGCACGGCTTCTCCCAGGTGTCAGACAATGAAAAGTCTTTGGTAACTTCCACTGGGCCAGGCACCGTCCCTATATCTCAACATTGCAAGGGGAAATGCATGCACACTCACCCCAGTTTCCTTGCCTTGGATGGGCTCCTCCATGCGTGGCTGGACTGTTTCAAGCAGGTCCTGGCTTGCTGCAGAGTTGGAGCCTCCCATCGTGTAACCCTCCTCCTCTCCTGCTGCTCCGTGTTGCTGTTCACAGCAGGGGTGTGTGCCGTTGGTGCCATGCAGGTAGCCATGGTGAGTTGCTGGATGCTGGTAGGGTCTTTGGCATGGCATGCGACTTATCCGAACAGTGGCAGGTCTGTGGCTCAGCACATGACTGAGTGTTAGCCCCCCTGGTCTTGCAGTATGCCCACATGGCATGGCTGCTGGCCTCTGGTACCCGCGTTTGCCTACATGCCCTATGGAAGCTGTTCAGAGATGGAGTTTACAATTGTGGCCAGAGCGGTCAGTGCTGGGCATTGTGGGACAGCTGCTGGAGGTCTGTTACAGCTGACAGCGATCCTGCAATAGATACACTCGCACTATGCTGATCATAGTATGTCAACAATGACTTACTTCTGTTTTGCCGCATCACCTTACGTAGGTGCTAACTGCTGCAGGACACTAATTTGAGTGTAGGCACATGCACAAACAGGTCAACACAAGGTGACTTATGTCACCCTAACTCTGTGGGGCAGACTGCCCCTGAGAAGCAGTGGTGTTCAAGCAGGGTTTTCAGACATTTGAAGAACTCTGGGTGTGAATTCTCAGGATTTCTTTGAGAGCAGCACGCTTTTTACCTAAGGACCTTACTTGTAACCATTGACAGAAGAGTCTCTGTGAAAATGTGAAAAGCCATTTTCATAAATGGAACTCAGAAGTGGGGAAATGACTTGAGCAGAGACTTTTAAGGCTGAGCTGCTTCCTGTTCCAGCCTCCCATTTGTCAGTGGGGAAGGCTGGTTTTGACTTTAAATCCCTACACTGAGCTCAACTGAGAAATCCTGCGAGCAAGTGCTGAAGACTGAGCCCCCATTTCCCACTAGCTCCTCAAAGGGACATCAGCCCCGTCTCTCCAGAACTGGCATGGTCAAGCCTCCACTCCGCAGTGTCGCTATGGGGGTGAGGGGTTCACATACCTTGAGAGGCATCTGGGTTCCCCTTTCTATTCGGCTGCTCTGCAGACTCAGTCCTTTCTCTTTCCTCCTCCTTTTCATCAGCTCTCTGTGCTCTTTTTGCTTGTTCTGGACCTCCATCAGCACCGTGATGAACGAGTTCTTTACCTCCTTTTCAAACTCCAGCTCATCCCGGCGAGCCAGCTGCTGCACCAGCTCTTCAGAGTAGTCGCGGATGGCGCCCTCCACCTGATCCAGCAGCTCAGCCAGCTCGGACACGGACATCTGCGCCAAACCTGCACGGTCAGGAGAGGAACACATCCACATCAGCTCCTGGCTGCAAGTGAGTAATAAGGCATCTCGGGAGTGCGATGTCGGAAAAGCTCAACCTGAGTCAGACACGGCACTTGGAAGCCTGGCTGCTTAATGATTATTCCTGTTCATCGGTACAGAACTGCTCTATTAAGGGCATCACCTCATAGAAATAACTAGAAAGCTTGCCCGTTTCCATGGGAACGATCTCAGCCCCATTTCATTAGGCTGAGGCACTGCCACACTCAGCAGGGCTGGTCCTGCTCAGACCGTCCATGGAGTTGGTGGGGCAGTAGGAAACAGTTTGATCTAGATTCAAAAAGGGGCTGGGGTGCCGGAATGCCAGGAAAGTGCGACGTTTAGGGGCCCGTAAGACCCTCAACCCCCTGGTTGCTCACTCTGGGCACCTGAAGTCTGTAGGCGCTTCAGACCCTGCCAGGGAGCAGGCACACGATTGCTCACTCTGGGCACCTGAAGTCTGTAGGCGCTTCAGACTTGGCCGGGGAGCAGGCACAGTCTGGGCGTTTGGGTGCTTAGCCCATGCCGGAGCTAGGGTGACCATCCATCCCATTTTTACTGGGACAGTCCCTTAATGAAGCCCTTTTCTAAGCCCCCTGCCATGTTTAAAAATGGGTAAACTGTGCCATGTTTCCCCTTCTGGTCAGCACAGCTGCAGCCTATGCCACAGGGCTGAAGAGCTAGTCGCCTCCTGCAGCACCCTCCCCCCTCCCGCCACCCCTGGTCTGATCCTCAGTGCCCCCTCACAGGGCTGACTTCCCAGCGCCCCCCAGGCTGAAGCCCTGGCTCACGGTGCCCCCCGTGCTCAGTGCACACATCCGCTGACACCCAGATCTGCGCCCCCTCCCACTCCTCAGGCTACAAGTGCTGGGGCTCCAGCGGGGAGCAGCAGGGCTGAGTCCTGCATCCCAGCCCAGCCTGCCCGGGAGAAGCCTCCAGAGCCTGCGGGCAGTCGG